TTTGTTTTATATAGTTGGACACACTAGTGTTTGGAGCATATATATTTATGATTGTCATCTCTTCCTCTTGGGTTGTTCCCTTTACAAAGATGTAGTGTCCTTCTTTATCTTTCTTAATCAGTGTTGGTTTGAAATCCACTTGATCTGCAAATAGGATAGCTACTCCTGCTTTTTGGGGGGTTCCTGTCGCATGGAATATTGTTTTCCACCCTTTAACTTTCAGTCTATGAATTTCATTTTGAATTCAGTGTGTTTCTTCTATGCAGCATATTGTTGGATCTTGATTCTTAATCCATTTTGACAGTCTATTTCTGTTGATTGGTGAATTGAGACCATTAACTTTGATTGTTATAACTGATATGTATTGACTTATCATTGTCATGACTTTTTCTTTTTGCTGGATCCTCCTCCTTTGTGTTTCATTTTCTGTCCTGCCCAATGGAGTCATTCTGCTGGACTTCTTGGGGTTGTGATCCTCCTTGTTTTTTCCTGTATTCATGAAGTTCCTAAGGTGCTCTTTGTCATGAAAGTATCTTATTTCTCCATGAATTCTGAAAGATAGTTCTGCAGGGTATATCAGTCTGGGTTGGAGGCTGTTTCCTTTAGGGCTTGTAATATGTCACTCGTGCTCTTCTTGCCTTGAGGGTTTATGCTGAGAAGTGTGCAGTGATTCTGATGGGCTTTCCTTTTTATGTGATGTTTCTTTTCTCTAACTGCTTGTAGAATTTTGTTCTTCAGTTGGGTTTATTGAATCTTAACTATTATATGCCTATGTATAGATTTTTTTTGATCAAGGCTAGTTTGAGTCCTATATGCCTCACTTATGTGTATGTCAAGTTCTTTTCCCTTGCTTGGGAAGTTTTCTGCCATCACTTCTGTGAACAGTTTTTTTTTATGACATCTGCACTCTCTCCTGTTTCTTCATTGGCTCTAATCTGTCTTATGTTATTTTTCTTTGCATTGTCTCACAGCTGCTGGGTTGATTTCTCATGGTCTCTTACTATTTTAAAGAAATTTTTCTTTTCCTGGTCACTATTTGCAATCTTATGTTCTATATCTGAAATTCTGTCCTCACATCAGCTCATTCTGCTGCGCAGACTTTCAATGGAGATTTTAATCTCCTGGAAATCTGTTTGCATCTGTTTTATGGATTCCATTTGTTTACTATGTTGGGATTCCATCATGTTCCTCAGCTCCTCTGTTTTTATATCTGTGTCCTCTCTAGATTTATTAATCATGTCTTGCACTATGGGCACAATCTCTGTTGTTATCTGAGAAATTATTTCTGATTTCATTTTTTCCAGATCCTCTTTGTTGCCAGTTCAGGGAGTCCAGGTGGTTGAGTATCAGATTGTTCCATCTCATTTCCCTTTGGGGTGCTTTAGGTATCTGGAAGTCTAGTTTTCAGACTTGTTTACATGTCTTCTCATTTCAAGGGGTTGGGGGGGTTGTGTGTTGCTGGCATCTGTGCAGCTCACCTCCTTAGTGGTGCTGGTGTGGCTCTGCTCCTCTGTACTGCTGGTGGTGCTATGGTGGCCCGAAAGTCTCAGCTACTTGTTGCTGTGGGCCTCTGCTCCTGTGTGCTGGGGACAGTGTTATGGTGGCCTGAAAGGTCAGCTACCCTCCCTTGGTATTTATATTTCTTTTTGGTTATGCTTCTCTAGGGAATCTTAATACTCATAGATACTTAGACATACAAATATATGCAAAATATGTTTTTATGTTAAAAAGAAATGGGCAGTATAATCTGTATAAGTGGAACAATCTTTTTGTTAAAAATAACATCTATATGCATATAAATGCACACAGTTCAAATTGGTAGCAAAAGTCATCACTTGAGATTATGAGGGAGTTTCATTTCTTAGGCAATATATTTTTGTTTTCTGAAGCAGGGTCTCCCTGTTACTTATGGGTGTAAATGATCTTCCTGCCTCAGCTCCTGAAGTTGGAAATATAGGTATGCACCAAGCCCCCTGGCTCCAGGTAATACATTTTTAAGTGCTTGAATATTTTATAATAAACACAAATTAATTTGATAATCAGAAAGTAATACGTATTTTGAAAATTTTAATCATGGAACAAATAAGGATTTAAATAAAGTTTAGAAGCTATAAAAGAGGAAACTGAAAGTATCTGCATACTATGAAATTTGCTGGCATAATCAGTTACTCACACAGCTCTTTATCGTGGAATGTTTCTTTCCAACCAAAAATTTTGTATGAGTTGATACAAAGTATTAGTCGTAAAGTGCCAAGAAATGTGAAGATGTGCCAAGCAGTTTCTGGCTTCAGTGAATCTGTAGTGGGGCAGATGCAGGTGCCAGCCCACACCCACCTTTCCCAGTGGTAAACTCATTCCTTCACCTAAGGAAGCAAAAATATCCTTTTTCCTGCTATTATTTGCATTGTAAAATATACATACCATACAATTTGCCATTTTAAGCATTTTTGAGTTTCCATATCTGTGGCATTAAGCACGTTTTCAAGAAGCACATTTTCATTTCTGTGGGATTTGCCCACCACCCCTTTCCAGAACTTGTCCTCTGTAATAGAAGCTCTGAACCCATTCAACACCGACTCCTCACTTACTCCTCCCTCCAGCCTGAGGCAACTATCATTCTCCTCCATCTCCCTGGGTTTGAGTACTCTAGATACCTCATATAAGTGAAGTTATTAGTCCATGTGTGATTGGCTTATTTCCCTTAATGTAATGTCAAGAATCATTCCTAGTGTAGCATGTGTCAGAATGTCGTTCATTTTCAAAACTGAGTAATATTCTCCTGTATTTATATACCATATTTTCTTTACCCATCCGTCAGTCAGTGGATACTTGGGTTGGTTCATGTTTTGGCTATTGCAAATAATGCTCTATAAACATGGTGTACAAAGATCTGCGCAAATTGCTGCCTGAACTTGGGCACTTCATTTGGGTAAATGCAGAAATGTGGAATTATTGGATTAGATGGCCATCCTGAGTTTCAGTTTTTGAAAAATTGCCCTGCCACTTTCTACAGTGGCTGTGTACAACAAGCATTCTTTAAGATGAACGTGCTTACAAATAGTAAGTCCAAACAGATTCGCTTAGCCACTTGTCAAACCATAAACTATGGAGAGCTTAGTTCAGCTTGTGAGTAGTTTGATCCAGCCTGTGATTAGCTAGTGAATGTAGCAATGAATTGGGTAAGGTGCCTGCTCTCCACAAGCATATCTTATAACAGCAGAAGTAAGGGACACATAATACTATGTAAGACGGTTGCCAATATTAGGGGCTATGAGAAAATGGAAACACACTCTGTCAAATTCAGAGGAGGAAGAAGACTTCAGGGCAGGTCCAACAGGAGGGCCTCCAAAGGAGAGCAGGACACAGGGTGTTGATGGAAGACAGGAATAAATACATAAAAGAGAAGAAACAGCATGAGACATGTGAGCCTGTACAGGCTTTCACTGTAATGAAAAGCACGTGGAAGTCAGTTGTAAGAAAGGTAGATCGGCATCATATTATGAGTGCTAACTTTGAAATTTAGGCTTGGGAGTGTTCACTTAATCAGGGCCCAAGAAAAGCTTCTATATGCTTGGAGAACTGTGACTGAAAATCACAGTTTATATAAACTAATTTAAAATTAACTTAATTTTATATGACCTATGTACCTACATACATACATATGAAATACATATCTACTAATTAACTATGTGATAAAATCCACGTAAGAAAGTCCAACAAAGCTCTGATTTTTCCCATGAGAACCACATCAACCTTTTAAGCAATATCCTATATGAACTTATTACGAAAGCATTTTTCTTCCTTCTCTTTTGGTGTCCTTGCATGTTGGTACTCTAAAATCACGTGCTTAGTTACTCAGTTTTGCAGGATCCAATTTGAAGCAAGGGGCAGAGAGAACCAAGTGGGGAGCTCCTGAGCCTGCCTAGGCCGATGGCAGTGGGGATGGGCAGTGAGCAGTAGGTGTGGAGAACACTGATGGGAACTGGCACGTTACAGGAGGGAGAGAGTAGGTGCAAAGAAGTCACAGGAGAGATGTTGTGTGACTTGATGATGAGAAGGTGTAGGGGAGAGACAATGGAGTCAGTGGTTGAGGCTCTGGCGGAACACAGAAGTCAAGGCATCCAAGAGAAAGCTGAGGTGTACATGCAGATCTCCTCAGAGGTGTCAGGGAGGTTACGCAGAGCTGGGGAGTTATGTGAGCCACAGGAGCAAGCGGTTCCTTCTACTGCCCAGTGATTTATCATCTAGATGCGACAGGAAATTGCTTTTAAATTGTGGAATTATTAATTCCTAGAAGAATAAAGCCTGCAGTAAAGTCCATAGGAGAAAACATCATTTGTGATGATCAACTCTTGTAACCACATGCAGCACACACCACACATTAGGACTTAGTGTGTGTAGCTTTAAATTCATTATAAAACTCAGCCTGGTTTAATCACAATAGCTCCAAGGCTCTCCAGACAAGTCAGCCAGCCTTTCCGTTGGAGGGCTCTCAACAGGAGCATTTCTGTAGTTTTGATCACACCTCTGGAAGACACTCAGGAAAGAGAACTTCCAGAACTGCTTCGGAAAGTGACAAGAAGATGGGATATGAGGGAAAGTATTTTGAGAGGGATTAATGGGAATGTGTCTTTCACTGTAATACATTTTTAAAAATCAATAACTGATGGTGTATTTTGATCACACCTCATATTTGTAATATCAGGAGTGTGTATATATAGTAGTGTATATGTAGTGTGTGTGTGAGATTCAGGAGTCCTTAACTAGTGGCGTGTTAATCTCTAAGCCGCCCTCCTTATAGCAGCAGAGGTTGCTGAGTGGAGGCCAATCTATTCCTGCAGACCCCTAAAGTCCCCCGGCCCTACCCAGGAGATTCTGGACCTCTGGCCCAAGATAGGGGACCGGGTGGGGAGGTCCGGGTGGGAAGGTCCCTCAGCCGCTAGGCCCAGACCCAGGAGCGGCCCGTGGCAGGCAGGGTCCCGGGGCCGGGTGTCGCTTACCCTGCGGCTGCTGGTCAAGGCCAGCTCGGGAGCCCGAGGGGGACTGCGGTGGGGAAAGGCGCGGGTCATGGGGTGCGGTTCCAAGTTACCAGGAAAACGAGGGCGAAGGGCGGCACCAGTAACCCGTGAGGTCGCCGAGGCGGCTCACTGTTCCGTCACAGAGTTTATCGTCTACAAGCCAATCTCAAGCCGGGAGACCTGAGGTCACAGCCTGGCTTCTGTGACGCTGTGGGTGGCCCCGAAGCGCCCTCGAGCTTCCCGACAAAGACAGCTAGAAAGAGAGTGCTCGGCTGTTCCCAGACAAAAACCAGAGGGCCAGGAGGAGGCAGCCGGCGCCCATTTCAAGGATTCCAGAGGTATCAGCAGAACCAGGCTCCTGAAGGTCAGATGTGAGCGGGGACCGCTGGTCAGATGCAGAGGGCGAGCGCGAACTGGTTCCCTGCCAAGTCAGGGGGGAGCTTGAGAAAAAGGAAAGGAAGCACTACCGATCCTGGCTTGATTGCATGAAGATATTTATTCTAAAAGCAGAGCTTCTGGTGCCTCCTTACGCCTTGCACCACGGCCAGGACCTCTCTTGCCTCATCCATCCTGGACCCAGACCCATGACGGAGGCGGAAGTGGCAGTAGTAAGGCTCCTCAGGGCCTGAGCAGAAAAGTGAAACTTTCTGCTGAGTTTGTTGGCTAAGAGCAAGGGCACATGAGTCAGTAGCTGAAAAGTCCTTCGTCTGGTAGAAAGCATAATAAATTGAGCCACTGTTTGGCAGGTGTCCTCTAATCTTGAAAAAAGAAAACCTTTAAAAATGAACATGTCCCCTAGCTGTATTGAAATCTGTAGTGTAGATTATTTTATAATCTCATTTATATGCATCTGGTTTCCCTCTGTTTGGTATCTTTGGAGGCAGGATCCTGTTTGTGACATCTCTATTTTATGCAGGGGCCTAACACTGTGCAGTTAATAGAAATGAATGAATTGGCTTGTTGGCATCATATTTGAAAACAACATTTAGGAATCAAATGTAGCTTTTTGAAATGGGTTAATCTAATTAAATTTTTTAAAATGGTGTTGAAAATAGATCATTGAAAAGATCTTAGATGAGAAGGCAAGTATATACTCTTTCAGTGCTTTTAAAAAGAATTTGGAGCCAGGTGTGGTGGCCCACACTTGTGATCCCAGCACTTTGGGGGAAGGCTGAGGCAGGAGGATCTACAGGAGTTCATCGTAAACTACATAGCAAAACCCTGTCTCAAACAAACAAAACAACAACAAAAAGAATTTGGGCCTGGGGCAGGACTAAGAATCCTCCAAGTTATCATTGAGGAATAATTATCTGAGAACTATTGTTTAGTTTTTATTACAGAAATAAAAATCAGATGAAAGGAATGCACTACTGTGAAAGTGCATAAAATAATTTATTGGCCCCTTGTCTTCCGTTTTTACTGTTAATATGCCTAACAGTATTTCAGATATTGTTCATGAATATGCTACATAGAAAAATGGAAATGCTATTTGTTCACATTTGTGCATCACACAAATGTGATATTTTTGAGCCATGTGCAAAATAAGTTAACTGAAGTCTTACGGAGGTGCAACTACTAACCAGTTAATTTCTACTAAAATCACATTTTATACATTTGTCCTGTTTATTTTAAACCCTTTTATCTTATACTAAGATGATTTTTTAAAAACCACAACAAAACATTTTCTTAGGAAAACAACTGAAAAACTCATTTACTATAAAGTGTTCATGTGTTTCCCTCTTCAAGGAAAAATAATAATTTAATGATTATGAAGGCTAAAATAATGCAAATTTAACTATGAAAAGTCAAGGACAGAGGTTAATGAAGGCACTTCTTGAACAAAACTCCTTCACAGACATCCTCGCATTGGTAGGATATATTTTTACCAAAGAATTATCCCTAGCAAAGTGAGAAGAGAGAATTTTTACTTTTGTCAGGTGGGATCATAGCCTGAGAAATCCTGCCTAAAATTTTAAAAATTCATGTAATACGTGCATTCTCCTTTACAATCAATCTTGTTTTAATATAAAGATAAAGTGGCGCCCCTGACTCTCCTCAGATCTGAGTAATATTTACACTAAAGCAAGACACCCTGTGTTTACCCTGTGGCTTCCCTCCCTGGCACGACGCCATTGCCTGTGGGGTGTGCACACCCTGGTTTGAAAGCTCCATCATACCATGCATATGGGTTTGGAAAAGAAGAAAGAGGCTTGTGCTCCAAGTCAGGGCATGAGGGCTTTAGTCTCAGCTCTGACATTAATGGGTTGTCGGCCAATTTCAAACCACTTACTGTCCCTGGGCCTCAGTTTCTTCAACAGTAAAATAACGTTTTTTTGCCATTAGGTTTATTGGTACATTTTAGGTATACGATACAGTTACATTCATCATTGGGATCTTGTACCTGTACATGATGTATCTTGGTTCTTATTTTTTCCCATTCTTCTGCCCTCCCTTTACCCCCTTCACCCTTCCCTATTTACAAAGACTTTGTTTCCATTTTTCCCTTTTCTCATATTTTTTCTTTTCCCTTCTTTCCTTTCTCCTAACCCTGCCACTTCCCCTACTCCTTTAGACCTTTTCTTCCTATTTTACAATATCAATTATACATTTTAAAAATTTATAAAAAGCAATAAATGTAAAAACCCCCACTTATTTAATTACCCTATCCTACATGAGTAGTATTTATTGTTTACGAGCTAAAAGATTGCTGTGGAGATGTTGACATATAATTATTTTTAAGGAAAAATTTTGCAGTCAAAATGTGTTAAGAAAAATGATGCATGTGGTTGTTATTAAACCTACATAACTTTTAAAATTCTCTTTCTAAGTTTGTCTCGATTAATTCCAATGGTCAGCACAGATATTCTTTTTCCAAATGAGTAGAAATATTTATTAGATAAAATTATCATTGACACCCATTTTCTGCTGTAAAGAATGAGAGTAGAATGAACAATATATCAGCTGCAAGCAAGGCATATTCTTTTTTTTTTTGGCTTAAATTCTTTTATTGGTACATTTTAGGTATACAATACATTTATATTTATCATTGGGTGCTTGTACCTGTACATGATGTACCTTGGTTCTTATTTTTTCCCCATTACCTGTGTGCCCTTCACTCCCTCCACCCTTCCCTATTTACAAAGACTTTGGTTCCATTTTTTTCTTTTCTCATAATTTTTCCTTTCCCTTCTTTCTTTTCCCCTTCCCCTCCTACTTCCCCTACCCCTTTGGACCTATTCTTCCTATTTCAAATTATCAATTATTCATTTTAATCCTTATAGCAATGCATATTCTTATATTTCATGGGTAAAAAGATATCTTTTCATGGTATTTGATGACCATAGTATCAACATTTTCATTGTCATAAGCTTAGGTGCAATAGCAATCCATTTCAATTGACAGTCACAGTTTTTTTCCCTCAAAATGCAAATCACAATGGAATGGTAGGGGACAATTACCAGTCTCTTACCCTGCTGCTATATTTTCAGGGAAGCTTGCATAGTGAAAAGCCTCAGAAGACATAATGTCTACCAGCAGAGGAAAAGTCAGGTATTTTATTTTGTTTCTGTTTTTACTGAAAATGCAAATAAAAATAATATCTTGTCCCTTGTAATAAAGATAAGGCCAACCAGCCTTACTGCTCAGTATAAAAGATATGGCTTCCCTAAGCTCAGAGTTCCTCTTCTGTAGCACAGGGCACTATTGCACTTTTTTGGAAATTGCCATTTTCATTCTTTCTGTAATTTACTTTGCATACTCATTGCTTAATTTATTTATTTATTTACTTTTTGGTACCAGAGATCAAACTCGGGACCTTGTGCTTGTGAGGCAGGTGGCGGAACCACTGAGCTACATCCCCGGCCCTCATTGCTTAATTTTTAACATCCAAATATCAACTACTAAAATTCCACAAGCCAGAGTAAAAGGTTTCCTACTTATTTCATGAAGTCATCAGTGGGTTCCTTCGGTCATCTTGTCAAGTCCTACAAGGTGGGCACAGCCACTTGTGCCATGGGAGGTGGGAAAGTGCAGTGAGGATGAAACAGGGCCTTCTAAATAGTAGCACCAAGAACAGAAAGGCCTTTGTCTTGCTGGAAGTTAGAGATGGTACAGGGTGGAAAATATGTGATCTATAAAAACTAACCTCCTTATGGAATTTCAATATGTGAAACCACTGAAATTACTTTCTCCTTGCATTGTTCAATTTAGCCTTGGCTCAAATTTTCACAGAATTTTTCCTAAACTTGCAGAGAAGACGTGTTAATGCTAGCAAGAATATTGGTTCTTGTCACATATGATTTGACAATCAGGCATTTGGAGCATAAATACTCAATATAAATATGCACACATATGCATCCATAAAAGCACGTGTGTATACATTTTGGTGTGTGTATATACATGCAGACATACATACACAGAGTAGATACTATATAGTTTGGATGTGATTTATCATGCAAGATTTCATGTGTTGAAGGTTTGGTCCTCAAAGTAGCAGGTGGTAGAACTTTTAAGGGCTGGGGGCTAATGGGTAGTGGTTAGGCCATTCCCTACCCTGCCCTTGAAAGAGCTTAAGGTAGTTCTCTTGGGATCCTGGTAGCTCCCTAGAGAGTAAATTGTTATAAAAGAGAAAGCTTCACCCCTAGACTTCCTTTGAGTTTCTCTCTCACCAAACGCTTCCTCTCTCACATGCTCCTGCCATGATATCATACACCATGTGGCCCTCATCAGAGTATGGACAAATGTGAGAGGTCAATCTTGGACTTTCGGCCTCCAACCCTTCTTTTCTTTCTACACTATCTAGTCTCAGGTATTACAGCAATGGGAAATAGGCTAAGAAGGCAACCTTGATAATGCGTCCAGTGATCCCTGCCTCTGGGTTTTCACATCCTTGTATGATAGCCTCTCCTTGCACGTGGGTTGGATTTATGAACTCACTTCTAATGAATAGAATAAGAAGTATAGGAAGTCACATCTGAGATTAGGTTATGAAAAGACTATGATTTCTGTCTTAACCTTTTTCTTGCTTTCTAGCCCACTTTGAAGGAAACCAGTTGCCATGTTATGAACTGATCTACAGGGAAGAAAACATAGTCATCAGTCGTACGTGTGGTAGGGTTCTGGTGGCCTTCAGCTTGGTTCCTTACTGAATTATTCATATAACGAGGTAAAGTATAAGGAATTCCACAGAATCTAAATTAGTTGTTGGTGTATCTTTTTTGTGCAAATGTATGGAAAATTGGCAAGCTTCTGGGCAAGTACCCCCTTATTCTGTAAAGAGATTTTCTTTCTTTATTATAACCACAAATGAATTCATTGCAACAAAAATGATTTTGTAGAACTTCAGAAGCCTTAAAAACTTGCAGTGTAAAAATCTCTCAAAGCCTTTGCAGTTTTTTAAAAAAATATTTCTTTTGAACTACTTTTCAACATGTAGTGCCTCTAATTAAAGTGATTATTGAACTTTACTCTGCTATTTGTTTTGTATGAAAAGGTGGAAATGAAAGGATCATTAATAAGAACCTAGCAGCTGAATAAAGGCCACAAAGAGCGCACAGTTAATGTGGTCACTAAGACAGTTAGGAATTATGTATGAAGGCAATTGAAATACTTCAGCCTCTAAGCAAATAATAGTAACATCTTTAATGATCCATTTGATTGCCAGACAATACCAAGCAGAACAAATACAATTAAAGCCCATTTAAAGCTATGAGTATTTAGGCTATTTGCTTTCTAATTTCCAATCTTTGGAGAGTCTCTTATTCATGTCCTCAGTCCCTGGTAGAGTGTGTGGTTTATGGTAGGGACTCAGTTAATTTCATGCCTGCTGACTCAATGAATAAATGAAGGATGCCAGATTATCCAAAATAGTTTCCTTATGCAGTGAAAAGAGTACTTTAAACAGTTGGATGGCCCATGTCTGACCACACGTGGTGACCCAGGTTTCCTGGAGAGGATCCTGGAGCCTCATCTTGTCATCATAGAATGCAGAAGACAGAAACAAAGGATCTGTGGCTGAGGCTCCTGGGTGCCACTGCTAACAGTGATCATCTGTAAAATATTCCAGCCCAATAAGGAAAATGATTTGCCAGCTCAATCTTCTTTCTCAAACCTACCTAAAAATGGTGAGAGGCTACAGAAGAAGACTCCAGTGTCCTCCAATGTTTCAGTTATAAAGAATTCTGTAGAATATATATACAGGCTGCCCCCACTGCAGTCTCTGGTTTTCCCCTCTTATAGCTCCCAGTTGCTTTCTCTGTGGCACACAGAATCCTTTCTGCTGAACTGTGAGTATAGGAGGCTAATGAACTGCTGTTGGTCTCATCTGTCCAGTGTCAGACGGCTCCTGTTTGGCCAAGGTTATAACCCTAGGTTGGGATCCCTCCTATAACAACGTGGTGGAGAGGAAGCAGTTAAAACCAACTGTGAGACAAACCGGATGCTGCCAGGCCAGGTTTCTAGCTTAGAGAGCAGCTGGTACAAAGACAGTACAGAAAGAGGCAGAACTGGGAGTTACTTGCAGACTTGGAATTCTTGGCTTCAATCACCGCTGAGCATCTGCTTTTCTTACTACATTTTCGAAAATTCTCCTTTCACTCTTGTCAATTTGATTAGGGATTCTTTCAGTGGCATTAAGCATTCAATGGATGGAGGCAGGGAGAAGGAAAAAGAAAATGAGAGTTGTACAGGGTGAGTTGTACATAATGAGCACACTAACCATTACCTCAGTATTAGCAAAGGCAAAGCTATTTGGTTGCCTATATTTGAGTTGCAACGAGGAGTGTGTGAATTATATTCCTTCCAGATTGAGAGAACATATAACAGATAAGAAAGGCACATAATTGTCCTGTATAATGAACAAGAAAAAATATCTCAAGATGCATAAGTCATATTCTGTAGTGGGCTAGTGAAGACATCACTTTTCTAAAGTGACCCTCCAGAAGAAAATAAAATATTAAGAAATTAGAATATTGCCTATCAACTAGAATTTATACTTAAAAGCACTAAAGTGATTGGGAGGGCTGATGTTTTTATCTGGAAAATGAAGGGCTCTTAAAGTCTATAACCTGACGATTTTTAAAAACATTTTTAATGGAGGTTTTCAAGTGTACAATTCAATGTAATTTAGTACATTCCCAATGCACTCTTCACTTCTGTCTATTTGATCACTCCTAAAGAAGACCCCTTATGCATTAAGCAGTTTCTCTTCATAGCACCACCCCAGCACCCACTAATCTGCTTTCTGTCTCTATGGATTTACCTATTCTGGTGTTTCTGTAAATGGAATCATATTACATGTGATCTTTTATATCTAGCTTCCTTCACTTACCAAACTTTTTGAGTTTTATATTTGTTACATGTACTTCATTCTTTTTATGGCTGAAAACTATTCCATTTATAGATATACCACTTTTATTAATCCATTCATCTGTTGGCAGATATTTGAATTTTCTCCACTTTTTGGTGATTAGGATAATACTTAATAATTACACTTGTTTTCAAGTCTTTGTATATTGGAGTTTCAGTTTTTTTTGGATATATATCTGAATGGAATTACTAGGTCATATACTAATTCTAAGTTTAATTTTTGAGTAGCCAACAAACTGTTTTCCACAGGGACTGCAACTTTTCATATCCCCACTAGTAATATATGGGGTTTAAATTTCTCCATTACCTGCCAATATTCCTGTCTTTGCATTGCATTTCCCTATTGACTGATATGCTGGACACTTTTCACGTGCCGCCTGCCATTTATATATCTTCCTGGGGAAATTTCTATTCAAGATCTTTGTTCACTTATTAATTAGGCTGTTTGTCTTTTAGTTGTTGAGTTTTAAGGGTTCTTTATATGTTCTGAATATTATACCCTCATCTGATATGTGATTTGCAAGTATTTTCTTCCATTCTATAAGGTTATTTTTAAAACATGATGATTTTTATAGGCTGTTTATAAATGTTCTCTAATTAATGTTAATTAGAATCTTTCCTACATGCATTCTTATTGAGGCTTCATTTTTTTATCTTATCCATATGAGAGGTTTTGTTAAACAGTCAGTAGGGTCTATGTGACCTCCTCAGTCTCAGTATTTGATTCAAAGGTAGGAACCTAAATTTAATGGGCCTTATAAACTAGCCACACATATTGGTCAGAGACCAAAGCCACACAAATCAGAATCCTCTAAAATCTTTTCATAAAGCTGTTAGTATATGAATCTAGAAGCTGCCATCAGCCATGTTTCTTCCTACAGGGTGGATGGTAATGGAAGAAAATACACAGTGCAAGAGAACAAATCTTGTAATACTTGAGTACATAGTTCTAACTAGCTCTACACACACTTTTATTGTAATTTAATTGTCCAGATTTTTTTTTTTTTGGTTTAAGCTAGTGTATTTTATATTTTTCCATTTTATATCAAAATCTGACCAAGTCAGGTGATGTGGTAATGTTATCATGTGAGCATTTCTCATAACATCACAGCATTGTCACAATTATGTGTCACTTAGAGGTTTATCTTGTCCTCAGTTCTGCTAATTGTTGCTGTAAAGAGTGCATCTTCTGGCTTCTCTCACTAAATTAAAAAGTAACAGAGACGTGGAAATTATTTCTGGTAGGACTGTTTTATTGCTCTTTGTTTTTATGTAAAAATTTAAAAATATTGGCCAGGTGCCAAGAGCTTAAAATACAGCTGCATTCTATGAATAATTAAATACCATAGCCCTGTTTGCAGTTGCGAACAGTACCTGGAATGAATGTTATAAAAAGAGCATTTCCTAAAAGGAATGTGTTGTGAAATTTAATGTATGGTACGTGTAGGTGGTCTAAAAGCTATTTTACTGCATTCCTACTTTCACTTAGAAACTTTTAAAATACTGTCACTAATGTGTGAATACCATTCAACTAAAGGAAGTCAACTAAGCCTTTTATATGGCACTATTTTAAATAATCCTTTCTGTATTTTCTAAGTCAGATTGTATAATTAGCTAATCCATCTACCTATTGTGATATGAGGTGGTGAAAAATGTCATGCATCCTGTCTTTGGTGTAATTACATACATTCCTTTTCAATTTCCTTTTGTTGACTTTAGTTATGTTTTGTAGCATAGCTTTAGTAACTGGGATATCTTTTGGGCACAGAAATCCCTTATTTCCGATCTTTGTCATTTACAAATCAATGACTCAAAGTATTACAAGTGCACTTCCATAATTGTTTGCCTTGGTGTGGCCCATGATGAAAATGATTTCCACTATTAAAATTACACTGTTTCTCTGACATGAGCTCTTGGTATTTTTCTGTTTTCTGTAGAAGTTCAGGAATTGTCTGTCGGAAGTTCCTTGACAAGAAAATTTAACAAGATCATTATTGAGTTGGTAAATTTGACAGTTTCTTTCCTAAGAAATTCTGACTTTCATAGTTTAAATTTTTCTTGCCCTCTAGCTATTTTTCTCCTGCTTCATTTATTTCATATATGATTCTTATTTGAATAAACAATTTTTATTACATTTATTTTTAACTTAAATATAGATCATGTCTAAATTGTGCAGCTATGGAAACATAACAGGTTCATGCTTTGCACTGATTATGAACATTTAAGAAGTTTCATTTAACTATGGAATGACCCTGAGGCTCTTGTCTAGAATTCCACTTCAGAGGCCCCAAGGGGAAATCTTCACATCTGGCTATGGCTTTCTCCCAGGTAAGGACATATATTAAGCTCTAGAATCCTACATTGTTTATCTATAAATCATCCTCACTGTGGCTTCCAATAGCCTGCAATATAAGCCCCTCTAATTCATTATGCATACAGCCATTAACAAGCAGACTTAGCTATGATATGTGTTAGCTTTGGAGTAAAGATATTATCAATAGTTAGTTACAATGCTTTTTCATTATTATATTGGGACACCAAGATCTACTTGTTTAAACAATAAAGAAAAGTTTTTCCTCCATTAACAAGAAGTCCAAAGGGGGATCAGTTTTATGTTTCATCTAAATCTCTGCTAGGTCTAAATCCTACACTCTTCTAAGTTGGCTTTCTTTTCAGGTCATCTGTCCCCAAGATAACAGTAGTTCTAGATTTCATATACTGCCATGTCTTTATATTGATAGGAAAAGATGGCCTACTTTATTCCATTATCATCTTCTTAGAAAGAGAAAAGTTTTTCTG